GTGTCGGAGAAGAATTTAAGGTCAAGAATGCCTAATATGCCAAACTTGGCATGCCATACCTTCGAATTTTGGGCCAGACCTAGAAGATATTAACATGATCTCGACACTTGTTATGATGACAATAATATTTAGGATGTAACGATCCGAATTTCATAGCCAAAGTTTATGCATTGACCTGGACTCTATGATGGGTCAAATTGAGGTTTCAAATTGAATCATTGGATCAAGGTTGGGCTTGATTCGATTGTTATTTGGGCCCAAAACAAGTTAAAAATGAATTTATTTGAATGGGACAATAAAGGGAAAATCTGTAACCTCCAATATTCAGTCGGAGTGATTTGACCCGAATATTAAGTATTGTATTAGCCATCGAACATTAAGCCAAACTTGGCTTGATTCGATTGTTATTTGGCCCAAAACAAAGCTAAAAATGAATTTTTTGAACGGGATAATAAATGGAAGATCTGTAACTCCCAATACCCAATCGGAGTGATCTGACCCGAATATTAAGTATCACATTAGCCATCGAAATGGCCCGAGATATAACACTACTTTTTTCTTTCATTCGAACATGCTTGCAACCAATAGACATACATCATATAACAAACATAGAAAGTTGACGTCAAAAAATAGTATATTGATTGCAAGAATGTTCATACAAATTCCATGGAAGCCAGTGTACAATATAGGGGTGTTTTTGTCTTTTCACATTAACATATGAAACATGCTCGGAACTCAAATTAAATTTATCGAATTGAATTTGAGGTCTTGTTAACACAACATACAAAATTTCAGAACATTTGGACATCGATCAAGCCATCACGAATCTAAAATCCAACAATAGGAAATGAGCTATTCTTATTTTAATCTATGCATTAATACAAAGAAATTGAAATTCAAGTCCAAAACCAAACTAAAAATCCAAAATTTAATGTCTATATCTCATTATGTAGGCAAAATACATTTTACCATTATCTGAGGTCACTAGAACATTATTTATCAAATTAAAATGTTTGAAATTACTTTACTTGGTCGTCCTTCGCTTTTAGGTGTCTCTAAGACCCGAAAACATGATAAACGAGTGTAAATTTTAAAAATTACACTCGTAGAGTATGCATGAAATCTTATGACATGTCATACTATATCTAAAGTTTCCAAGAGAATTCAATAGTCCATAGATCCAAATTTATCAAATAACAAAATTGATTTAAGATGCACAAAAAATCACTATTGAAAATCAAGTGTAATTCATGTATCATTTTTCATTTAAATTATGTAACAAGTAGACACCTTTAAGCATAATTTTAAAAATTGAACTTGATCACACAAGCTCGAAGCGTAATTTAAAAAATTGAATCACATGCTTTGACTAACTATTCGTATGTGGATGATAAGCCATACTGAAATTTAACTTTGACCTTAAAGTCAAATGCAAAATTTTTCATAATCTTGAAGTAAAACGTAGATCCCTATCCAAAATAGCAGAGAGTGGAACATCGTGCAATCACAATCTTGGCAATGTACAAGTCCATTAACTTCTGCAAGGAGAAATTAGTATGCTTGGGAAGAAAATGCACACATTGGTGAATCTACCCATGATTACCCAATTGAAATTCTTTTTTGACGGAGATAAAGGAAAACCCGAAACAAGGTCCATTATGATCATTTCACACCTCCATTCTAGAATCTTAATTGGTTGTAATAATCCTAATGGAATTTGATGTTCGACCTTTATCTTCTAGCACACGAGACACCTTGAAACAAACTCAACCACATTCTTCTTCATTCCCAACCACAAATACATCTCTCGAAGATCCTTATACATCTTAACACTACCAAGGTGCATAGTAAAAGAGCTACTATGCCCTTCGGTAAGAATTTCATGTCCTCATCGCAATCTTCCCTAGTTTATAAGAAAAAATCAATTTAGTCCCAATTCCGTTCATTTGTTTTCTTGTAAATTCGGCCTATGATTTTATTTAAATTTAATTTAGTCCATAATTTCTATATTACTTTTATTTATTACATTCTACTCTTTGATTTTCCATTGTATATATTTTGATCCCTACAACTTAATTTGATTTTTTCCTTGATTTAATTTTTCATTTAATCCATATTAATATTATATACTATATTTAATACATGTATTATATTTTTATTATTTTTACTATATTTTTTATACTATATATATATATTCATTTAATATTAAATATTTTTTTTTTCCTTATGTATTATTATATTGAGTTAATTACGTCATGTGTCCCCCAAAATATAACCCTTATTTAAATTGGTCCTTAAACTTTTGAATATTTCAATTGCATCCCCAAACTATGAATTCCATTATAAATTAGTCCTTAAAATTTTGAATATTCTAATTTCATCCCTACACTATGACCTCTTTCTATATTGGCCCCAAACTTTTGAATATTCCAATTTAATCCCCAAATTCATCCAAGTGTAATTAGTTTCAACCACAATTTAACCAAAATTTGGTTTTTTTTTTCAAACATATAATAATGTAACTTGACATAACTATTTTACTGACAAGGATGTGATTAGTGTATATGTACAGTTTGGGATGAATTTGGAATGTTCAAAAAGTTTGGGGACCAATTTAGAATTAAGGTCATAGTTTAAGGATGAAATTAAAATATTCAAAAGTTTGAGGATTAGTTTAGAATAATTGTCATAATTTAGAGATGAAGTCAGAATATTTAAAAGTTTAGGGCTAATTTAAAATGAAGATCATACTTTAAGGACACATTATGCAATTAACTCTATTATATTAGTTGGTTTATTAAAATCAAGGCAATATCTTTTTGTAAGGGGAATCTATAAAATTGCCTCCTAGATTGTTGAAGCACATTTCTAATATTGTTCGAGCAAATATGTATCCTTCTAACTCACTCTTTTTTTTACAAGTATTTCCGTTGCATTTATTTTTAATTGAATATTAGATTTTATAAAATACTTAAGGCAATGTTGTTTTAGTTCGAAAATTAATGAGATAATATCCCAAATAGAGATATGACAATCTTTGTTAATTTTTCGGGATAAAGGACATCTTTTTAAGAAAAGATTCAAGTGAGCAACATCTTTTTCTAGAGACAAATAACTTTTTAGTGTCAACTCAATTAAAAACCAGAAATCAATCAATGATCATATCTTAAATTTACATTTAAATTTGCAAAATTCAATATTTAGACACATAAAATTAAGTAGGTAGTCATCTCAGGCGTTGTGAAAGTGATCACCATTCTCCACATGTAATTGACTCCCAACATGATTTAATGAATCTCTAATCAAACGAGATCGTAATATTGTCTTTAAAAGAGACTTTCAAACTTTTCTTTTAAAAGCGATTTATAGATTTTCAACCTTTTAATCTAAAAAAGATCAATGATAACTCCAAATTTTATAAAACAAAAAAGTTTCTAAAAAATTCTCAAAATAATCAAGATTCGGATCCTAAAACTTAATGATCATTCAGATAATAAAATATAAAAGTTGTAAATATTAAATAAAATTATTTGAAAATGTTAAAAGAATAAGATAACAAACATTTATTGGGTCAAAATTTTCTCCTTTCATCTTATTTTCATCAATAAAAAATCATCATCATCATCTTCATGATTATCTTAGAATTTATCATCTCCTTCAACCATCATTATCATCAACTTTAAACCACATTTACCAAACTTCAATTGAATCCTAAGTCCTAATCTATCACTATTATCTTCTAAACTTTGACTAAATCCACATAAATAGAATAATGATTCAGTCCACCCCGTGGATGGAACATGCAATTATTAATAGGGATGCGCATTTTTAGATATCAATATTATTTGATCCGAAATTTTGGATATCTAAAAATTTGTATCACTAAAATTTTAGATATCGAAAATTCTTTGGATATATTTTGTATCACTATTAATTCAAATATTATTCTTTGAATTGGACAATGTTATTGTAATTCGATCCAAAATTTTTGATATCCAAAATTCTTTGGGTTGTTTACGAAGTTAATGATTTTTAAAGAATAGTGTTTAGGGATGTGAGAGAAATAAAAAATTGCAAGAAATAAGAACGAAAGTGGCACTATATTTAGGGGGGAAAATAGAATTCTTAATCAGTTAAGGGCAAGGAAAAAAAATGAATTTTGGGATGTGAATATAGAGGGACGAATTTCTAAAATTTTAGGAGGGGGGCGAAAACAGATTATCAAATGAAAAATCAAATGAAAATACAAATAAAAATATATACTAATTTGAAATTTCAGGGAATGCGACTGCCTCACTTGTTTATATGATTTGTTTTGATTCATCTTCATCTAGATTGCAATAAAAGAATTGATCCACTTTGATCTAATTTTAATAGAAAATAATTTATAAAATTTAACTAAAATAAAATTCGACTTATTCAGTTTACACCTCAAACATTTAAATTACTGCATGAAATCAAATATATTCATCGTAATAATTTTTTTAATAAAAAAGATAGTACATTTACAAGACGAATGTCAAGATTTGAATTCATGAAGACGAAATAATATATATATATATATATATATCCTTAAAATATGATAAAACAAGTGCAACATTTTTCCTTTCCATCAAATAATTAAGCGAAGGATAAATTTAAAGGCTAAAACAATCAAGGACACAATAAAAGTAAAGCATCATACATGACTTAAATTAAAACAAGAATTGACGAGACTTGGAGATCAAGCAAGAGTAGCAGTGCATGCTAATCATCATCATTGACGAGACTTGGAGATCAAGCAAGAGTAGCAGTGCATGCTAATCATCATCATTGACGAGACTTGGAGATCAAGCAAGAGTAGCAGTGCATGCTAATCATCATCATTGACGAGACTTGGAGATCAAGCAAAGTAGCTTCCTCAAGTTTTGCAATCAAATTTGGCTTAACACTGTTCGGATCAATGTCAACCGTTGATTGTATCCTAGATTAGTCACTTCTGCTTGATTAACAGAGTTTTCCAGTTGTTCTTTGTAAAAGTCCCAATTAATTTTGCTGTCAGTAGTAATATCAGTATAGACCTGCAGTTGAAAGGAAATTGATTTATGTGAAACTTTGTAAAATTGTTTCATTTGCGTGTTAGTATCAAATTAATGCAAAAGAATAAGAAAAATTGTGAATTGATGCATACCTTATTATCTTCATTTGCCACATTCCTCCAGACAACAACCAACTTAATGTTTTCCTTGATGAGCCAAGTGCTGAAAATCGTGTCTGCGGCGACGGAACATCTAGCTGCTGCTTTCCGGATCCATGCCAATCAATCTGATCATACATGCTGACTTGATCGGTTTGATTGTTAAAATACACCTCTGTAGATATTGCAAGACCCACTTTACCACTTGGAGCATCCGTCGTCGCAGGATCAAACTCTAGTTTCGCACTCAACGTTGGTTTAACACTGCTCATATCAATCTCAACAGTTGACTTGTATCCTAGATTTGTCAAATTGGTTGACAAAGGCTTTTAGTAGTTCTTTGAAGTAGTCCCAATCAGTGTCTGCAATGACGGAACACTTGACGGGTGCTTTCCGGATCCATACCAATCTCTTTTGTGATACGTGAAGAAATCATGGCTGGTTTGATTGCTAAGATACACCTCTGTAGATATTGCAGGACCAACCTTACTACTTAAGCAAGAATTATCCCAGATCTTCCCCAATGTTGCCTTCAAGTTGGCTTAACGCTGTTGGGATCAATCTCAACAATTGACCTGAATCCTAAATTAGTCACTTCTACATGGTTGACAGAGTTTTCCAGTTGTTCTTTGTAAAATCCAAATTAATAGTTCTGCTAGTAGTAACTCAGTATAGACCTGCAGTTGAAACTATTTATGTGAAATTGCTGAAAACATCTTATCTGCAACGATGGAATGAACAATTAATATAAAGAAATTCGGATTTCATGGTGGAAACAACACTTACATTCGCCACTGAATCCATCCAAATTTAATTGATGAATACCTTATTGTCTTCATTTGCAGTATTCCTCCAGGCAACAACCCGCTTAATTTTGTTTGATGAGAAACACAGCTATACCTTCCGAGTTTCCAACATTGGTATCAGCAAGTGCTGGAAATGTCTTGTATGCAACTCTGGAATTTCTAGCGTCTGAATTTCAGATCCATACCAATTATTTTTTCAAACGTGATTAAGAACTCATCGGTTCGATTGGTAAGATACACCTCTGTAGATATTGCAGAACCCACCTTGCTTGGAGCACTCATCGTCTTTGTTTGATAGTTTTGAAGTAGCTTATGCTATTGGTTTGGTTGTGTGATTGTTTGAGTTACTACACACATTATATTACCAGTTTGCAGCCCACAGATGACAAAAGTCGAGCCCCATAACATCGTCATGTGTGATTTTGTTTCTATTATGGAGTCGGCGTAACTATACTGCAAGACTAAATTTTTATATTACCATTCACATGTATTATCACATGTTGGCTTTACATATGTGGTTGTTGTAACCAATGTGCTCTTTTTTACATTATGAAAGGTTGTAAATATTTCAATATTAATTTAAATTGATGCGTGTCGTATAAACTTGTATCTTATTAATGTGGGATACAAACAACTCCTTTCATTACATTATTTTTACCAACAAAACCTTCTCATTTTAAATGCTTTGGATATACTTACATAGAGTATGATTTCTTTTTTAAGGAATTAGTGATTAGAGATGTGAGTGAAGATAAAAAAAATTCATAAAATTAAGGGAAAAAATGAACAGGCTCCCTCGCTCATAAAGGATAGTGAAAACAAATTCTATACAAGGCATCCACCATATTATTTTTTGAACTAGGGTCCTTACTATAATACCAAGGGAAGAGGCCAAAATTGTCATGCGACTTCATTTTTTTTGGGTATGCATCTTCAGCTTTGTAGAGAAAAAAAACTTTTTTTGTTGGTAATGATGATGTGTAACAATCTTGGAGTCTTTTAAATTTACTGTAGCAAACACCCTAATCGGACAAATAATTGGTAAGGTGGATTATTTGAAGAATTTTTTTAAACACAATATTAGAGCCATTTTCTCATTATATATTAGAAAAAAAATTCTTTATTCAGTTTTAGGACGAGGACAAAAGGAAATGATGTTTTTGGATGTGAATATATAATAATTTTTCTCCCTTTTATGGTTTGTTTTTTATTCTTCATGATCTAGATTTTTATAAAACAAATCGACCTGCTTTGATGTAGATTTTAATAGTAAAAAAATTAATCCACTCTAATCTAGACTTCAATTAAAAAAAATTAATCCACTCTAAACTTGACATCAATAAAAAAATACCTACTCTAATCTTTAAATACCATAACGAAAACTTAGTGTTGCGATCTAATAACGTAATTTCATATTTTATTAACATTACTAAACCCGAAAACTTCATATCAATTTTTTATAATAAAACGATGATAATGACAAAACAAGAAGAAGAAAATATCGCAAACAAAACAAGAAAATAAAGAAAACCAATATTTACATGAAAAATCCTTCAAGGAAAAATCATATGCAGAAGAAAAGAATTTTCAATAATATGAGAGGGAGAAGAATACATAAGGATTTAGAGAAATAAAACTTTTCTACTAACCATAACCCTAGTATCTATTTATAGGAAAAATAATTGATTACAAAGAAAACTTATAAAGTTGAAATCTACTCAAAGTACGTTTTCTACATAAAAAGGAAATAAACTTTCTAATTTTAATCAAACTAAGTTTCTTACTTTTTCCAATTATCTTTTAAATAATTTGAACCACATTAAATTCGAATCGAATTCTAACAATAAGAAAAAAAATATTTCTTAACCAGTTTAAGGGCAATGATAAGTAGAAATGATGTTTTAGGATCATGGTTGGATGATTTATAGATGGTTCGGGATGATTTATAGATGGTTCGTAAAACTTACTAAGCTAGAAAACTTATGAAAATTTATTTCTTTTTCTTATGATATCATGCCCTTTTCTTCGAGATTGTGACTCATCTATTGATAAATGACTCCACCATCTTTGAAGTTCTACCACTTTGAGTACGATTCTCTCCATTTTTAGGTTTTAATTTTGGCTCTCTCTTCTTCATATCTCGCCATCACAAACATTCTTCTTTCTATAAAAGATTAGTAAAAATCATGCATCTATGCATAAAATCACCAATGCAGTGATCTTAAATGTATATATTACCATGTAATGTATCTATTTTATGAAAAATAATGTTCTCATAGATGCATAAATGTTAATCATCAATCTTTTTTTTCTTCGAAATAAAAATTTTAATCTTCCTTTGTTGATCGCTTTCTTCAAGTTCTATCTGATACTGGTCTAGCCATTTGTCAATTTAAATTTGTATTTTTTTAAAAATAATATTTTTATCTCATGTACCATCATGTCCTTTTTATCTTATGGTTTTGTATGTTCATTATAAAACCTCATGAAAAGTGTTTTCTCTCATGCCAAATACATATTTTGGGTTCTTACCACAAAAAGAGAAATGGTATTTGTTACAATATCATAACGATATTTATCGACAAACAAATAAACTCGATCGAAAAAAAAAGAACACCAAGATTTACATGGAAAACCCAAAAGAGAAAAACCATGGGCAGAGGAGAAGAATTTTCACTAATATGACGGAAGAAAATACAAGAGAATTTTGGTGAAAGAAAAACTTAATCTCTAACCCTTACCCTTAATATCTATTTATAGGGATATATACTTGATTACAAAGAAAAACTAAATACATTACAAATCTACTTTAATAAAGTTCTCTACTTTTAATTAAACTAGGTTTTCTACTTTCCCAAATTTATATATTAATTAATTTGTGTCACTTTGAATTCGGGACAAACTCTAACAAATCTTCACTTTGACACAAATTCTGAAAGTGCAAAGATTTCAAGACAAAACACTAGAATTCGATGTGACACCCAAAATCAACAAAAAAATAATTATTCACTTCAACGAACAAGTTCTCTACCTCTTTCACAACACCCCACAAAGGGGTAATCTTCAATAATGGACACAGATCGAATCCAAGCTTTTCTAGGCTTGGATTTAGTCTTCATATCGACATGGTTATCATAAGTGCCAACTTTTCTCACAAATGTATCACCACAAGCAATATCATGCACAACACAATCTCGGTCATCAATGATAGTTCTATCTTCAAATTCCTTATGTTCACGGAATGGAAGTATTTTCTACTTTACATAACCATTCTGCCAATGGTTATTTTGTTCAACAAAAACTCTTATTTTGTTTAATTTTGTCAATACGTTTTTATGAGTAACAACATTATTTGACATGGAGGATAAAACACCAACTCCATTATCTAAAACTATTGAACCCTGTAGAACATAAAATTTGACAGTCTTTCTCTACCCTTTCATCACAATAAGAAAGCCTTTGCAAATTTTCATATCTCTACCTTCATTGGAGAATTTGTATCCTTTTGAATATATGGTACCTAACAAAATTAGATTTATACCCAAATCTGGAACATGACTCACATTACCAAGAGTTTGAATAATCCCATCGAACATCTTAATCTTGATTGTGGCAATATCTACGACTTTACAAGAGACATTATTTCCTAAAAATATATCACCTGTATATACAAATTTATGGTCTTAAACCAGTTACGATTAGGACTCATATGAAAACTACTACCAGAGTCAGGTATCCACTCATCACTTGTTATAAAGTTATCGTCAGCCGCAAATATGAGTTCTCTATCATTGTAATCCTCTTCTACATTGACCTCACTAGATTTTCCAGAGTTATGTTATTCAACTTCTCTTTTGATTTTATTATGTAACTTGTAATACTCCGATTTAATATGACATTCCTTTTTACATAACTGACAAGTTTTACTATGATTGGAAGATTATTATCTACCCCTTCTAATATTATCAGAAGAACGCTTGCATTTTCTTACACAGTTTGAGCAAGTCGATTCATCACTTGTTATAAAGTTATCGCCAGCCGCAAATATGAGTTCTCTATCATTGTAATCCTTTGCTAC